AGAGAGAGAGAGAGAGAGAGAGAGAGAGAGAGAGAGAGAGATTACTTTTTCTGTGACCATGTTACTCTTGCCACTAAGAAGTTCAGGGGCCATCCAGGGTAATGTCCCCCGAATACCACCGGAAACTAAAGTATGTTGTTTTACCTTGGATAATCCAAGATCGCCAATCTATAAAATATTCAATAAGATGAACAAATAAGCTTCTCATATATGACCATCAACTAAAAACACACTGCAAGAAAATCACAAAGATAAAACAAAGTTATCAAGAGTGGCCACAACTACTACAATTGTTAGACAAAATGATTCAATCTAGTAATCAGAAGTAAGATTAGCTTACAAGTAGAAACTACAAGCTGAAAATACCAATAAAAACAGTCAAATAATAAATAGAAAAACTGAACACCCATATCTGAATTATGATATGTGTAATTACAACGGAAAGATGCATTTTAGAATAATGATAAAACTTTGAAGATATGTCAAGCATAACTTCCAATTTTGAAGAAAGAACCCAAAATACTGTTCCAAAATTAGAAGCACCACCATTATCTGCTCTCAGGCATGTTTATCAGCATTTACTAAAACTCTCCTCAATTCTAATTAAAAATAAATAAAAATTGAATGAATAAATTTATTCAAGAAAACGCTGCACATAGAATATGAAAAGGAGTTTTTCAGTTTGTCCGTAGAGCCTACCTTACACACAGGTCGGTGTGGGTCCCTCATATTTACCAGCAGATTTTCACATTTCAGGTCAAAATGAACAATATTTTTCCCGTGCAAGTACTCCATGCCAAATGCAGCATCCATGGCAATGATGAGTCTCTTCCGTCTATCTATTGTTCTGCTCAGAAATAATAAATAAATAAATACATTACTGACAAAAACAACAGGCGGGCCAATAACACTCAAGAATACCTGTCCTTTTTTTGCAGAAACTGTTTCAAAGATCCATTAATCATGAATTCCGTCACTGTTGCTAGAGATCCATCAGGGCCGTTTCGAACAACTCCATAAAAAGATACGACATTTGGATGATGCAAGGAACTGAGTATCAGAGCTTCCTTCCAAAAATCAGCAATCTGTACAGAAATAACTATTAACTAACTATAGGCATTAGAATATTGCCATAAAAATCATTTCATGTTATATTTACAGAAATAGGTTGTCACAAAAGATAAGATAACAATGAATTCCAGTCATAACGTGCCAGACTGTTTAGGACTAGTATAACAAGAGAAAGATGCCAAACCTGACTTAGCTGAAAACTTACATTAAGAATAACTAGAAAAAAATGCCAAAGCTGCCAAAGCTGAGGCACCCCTTAAGAAATCGTATATGACTTATTACACAAGTGAATTTAGGAAAACAATTCGAACAGGGTAGATCACGTGGGGAGTTTGCTGCACACATGGATGATTTAAATGCTACTGTTTGTTAATATATATATATGGTATACGTCTGTTAAAGTATGCATATGGTATACATTACGGTATCCATTAGTAAAATATCATAATCCGGTAGATATAATTATTTTTTATTTATATATGCATATGAATGTCAAATCAAAGATCGTGATCTTCAAAATATAAGAAAAATTGATAACAAATAAAAAATTAGTAAAATTTAAATTATATTTATAACTTAAGTTAGTCAAGTGTCTTATCATTTTAAATGTCCTAATAGCTACGGATTAAAGTCCCAGCCTAAATGGACTACCTCTAAGCATAAACAATCGACATAATAGGATTATGAAGAATTACTGAACACCAACAACAAGGCTAAAAATTCACTAGATTTTTAATGTAGTTTTTTATTGTGAAGAAAAAAAAAATCACGAAGTACTAAAATGGTCTGCATCTCCAAAAGTGGGTCCACTTTGGACATTTTTATTAATAAACAAATTATTTGTTTAATAAATAAATTATGTTTTCTTCAAAAAAGCAACACTAGCTAGACAAGAGAATATTTCCAGTCATAAGTCCGATGTACCTTCATAAAAGCTGGGTTTTGGCAAATATGCACTACAATAATAGCTAGTGGAAGGAAACAATTTCTTATTTATCATGGTCTCTACTTCGAGTAATCAATGATAACTTACTTGTTCCCAAGAAATTCTCTCAACATTGAACTTAAGACGAAGTTTTTAAGATAGAAGAAAAAGGATTACCAGACGTTCCCTTTCAGATGGCTTTCCAGCAAAGCAACTGGCTTTTATTCTTTTTATTGCTACATCTGATCCCTTCCACTTTCCATGGTACACAGCACCATATGTCCCAGAACCCAACTCCCGAATCTCCTCCAGATCTTCATCCTTTATAGTCTACAAGGAAAAGAAAACCATAGATAAAATAAATGGCATGACAAGAGAACACTTGCTGGAAATGATTATTTCTCAAATGGCATGTTAATTCATGTGCACAGGTTAACTTATTGACAATAATAGATATCAACCCGTAAGTACAGACAAGAACCTGCAATCCTCTATCAAGAGCTTCTTCCTCTGCTTTAGTCAGCTCTATTTTGGAGCTGTCAACATTATCACTATCATCTTCTACCTCCAAGTCCACAATGTCATCCTATTAAATAATGATATGTCATTTGCGAATAAGTACAATATCAGAACACACAAATTAGTAAACTTGAATACTTACTGCTCCATTTTTGTGATTTTGAACATCTTCTTTTTCAACAGAACCACGGCCGCTCCCCAAATTTGTGTCTTCTTTCTGAGCTTCCGCATTCACCACCTTCGAACTCTGCAGAGCAGCCTCTTTCAGGGAAACAATTAACTCAGGTAAAAATTCCTGTCCATCATCCGGTTTCTCCACAAGAACATTGGCATTCTTAGACTCATTTATAGCACCATTATTTTCAACAAAAGCAGATTCTCTATCTTGACGAACACCAGATTCTTTACCCTTCACTTCATTATTTTTCTCTTTAATCTCTTCATACCCACAAGTCCTGTTTAAGTTAACCAACTTAGTACTTCCATTACGATTTTGGTATTCTACGCCAGATGGAGCAAGAGATGCAGATTGGACGTTGTCCAAAAATTGGCTATTGGGAGTATTTTTTACAGCCAGGAAGTGAGAATAATCCGGTATGAGAGAAGCATCAAGCGCTGCGGCTTTCTGTGATGACTCAGACCTCTGATTCTCTACACCAGCCCTCACCCCAAGACTGCTCTCCACTGTCCCCCGCACATATCCCATAGGCCCACTCAAAGAGCCATTAACCATCTGAGACGAAATGGGCATCTCGTAAGATGGGCTTCCCATCTGGAACGGACCGTGAACATTCTGCCAGGGGGACTGCGGTGGCATGTGACCATGAGGCCCATATACAAAGGTAGCTGGGTTGCCATAGCGGACCCCACGTTCGTCCATGAATGGCAGGTGTGAAACTTGCGCCTGATCCTGAAACACCTGCCCACTATAGTCAATACCTGAACGACCATGATGTTGATTCTCATGCCCACACAGAACACTCGGACAGTTTTCCATGACATAACCATGTCTGGACTCCTCCGTCCAAGGATGCGGGGAAATACATCCCCTTTCAGACAGGTCCGGATAAAGCACCTGTGGATTCCTCTGAAACGTCATCCTACAATTTTCGCAAATGCTATTCCCTTCATAAGCGCTCGACCCGACCTGATGGTGGAGCAAGTTTCCGGGGAACCCTGCCGCCTTCTCTCCGGATGGAACCAGAACCACCCCATAATCCTCCAGTGGTAACCGCAACGAGGGCGAGGTAGGGAACTCCGGTTGCCGGGGGGAGTAGTATGCGGGGCTCCACGGGGCCTCCATCTCACTAAACCGCTGGCTGCCAATAGGCTGCTGGGCCTGAGCCTGAGCCTGGCCTGATCCCAGATGAGGGATGGTCAGGTGCCGCAGGTTCATCTGAGCCATTGGCAGCTCCATGTTCCTACCATCGAGATACTGCTCAGCATCATCGAACGAACCCAACTCACCGGGATGCTTTCTGAAATCAGGTGACTCATTTAGGCTGTTCAATGCATCCACGTACCTCCTCTCGCTATCCCCCTCCATGAATGGGGGCGGGCCCTCGTCCTGCTCAAGTTGTGAGAACAGGAACAATCTGAGCCTTGTGAAACCATCGACTGAGCCCAGCTTGTCGTACTCCTCCATCATATTGATGACGTCATCGTCATTGACGACTGAGACAAGGGCGTCCAGCTCCTCGTCCGGCTGCTGGTACTTGAGCACGGCCACGTTGTCGAATAGCTCCTTCATTTTACACATGAGGTCTTCATAGGTTATGTGGCGTGGGATGCTGACTATGCGGGTCTCCCCGCCCACGTAGCGGAGCCTTCCGTCCTGCGGGCGGGGAAGAATGCTGCCGGAAAAGCTACAAAGGAATTTGAACCGCTGACAATCGTCGTTCGGACCGGGGGCAGGTGAAGTGCCATCCATTGATTGTTGGGGCGTGCTTGATTTTGGTGATTGCTTGATGCAATGGGATCTCCGTTTAGCTTCTTTTGTTTCCTTTCAACCAAAAAAAAAAATCAGAGCATTTTCAGATCAATTTAGGAGATATGGTTAGGGAGACTGTTCTAAAAAAACACAAGAAACAGGAATTTCGAGCAAAGGTATGAACTTGCGAGTTAAATGATCGACCCGCACGAATCGAAACACAGTATAACAACAAGTGACGAATGATGAACAACCCAAACAACGGTGAACTGGAAATAGGGATTCCCACAATCGCAGAGCTCTATTTTTGTTATCAAATCCTAACAATTCAAGAAAACCCCAAAAAGGCACCGAAGCTTCACAGATCCGCCATAACCCTTTTACAATCAAAAGCTGGTAATTAATGAAGAATGTTAGAAATGGACACAAAGTATGTGCATATCACCACGTGGAGACTCGAGAGTTTTTCAGAATCAGGTGTCAATTTATCTGCCTGACGCCATATTCTTCCTTTTGTTTTCGAGCACCAAAGAAGAGCCTATAGGCTACAAAGAACTATTCCGCCACCACTGAAAAAATTCGATCCCATTATTGTGGACTGTGATATAGCACATGATATAGCTCGGGTGAACCGGCTAAAGTTAGCTCGAGCTAAGGAGTCCCAGGCAAATCAAACAGGCCATTATACATGTAGTAGTATAGCTCGGACACGTGATAAATTGGCCAAATGTATTGGTCGGAAATGGATTCGATTGGACTTGTTGAGCTCTTTTCTCCAAGATTCGTGTTTTTTCAGTTTTAATGTACGCTCAAGCTCTAGAATCTTCAATGGAACTGACATCTTGAAACATAATTTTATTTACTTCCCTCATTCGTTTTAAAGCGTTGAATCTGTTGCTCATTTCCAATTGGTCTTTTATTTGGTAGTTTATATTTTTTTCATCTCTTCAACAAGTCTCTTGTTTTCTTTCTTCATAACATGATGAGCAATGATAAATCTTCGTTTACCTTTCTTTTTAGTTTGACTTTCTTCACTTTGATAGGTCTTTCAGATGGAGAACCACTAGCAAATTGATCTGAGTCGCTTAAATTTAGAGAAAATTAAGAAATACCTAGGTATTCTTGTCGGACAGAGATTTTCTTACTTCGAAGATGGATAACGACCATTTTTTTTCTTGCTCCTCGTAGCTCCATCTTTAAATTTTTCAAAGTTTTTAATAATACCAAACGTGGTCGTATTTTTATCCGAATTTAAATTTTGAATCTTCTTTGAACAACAATTTTGTTCTCAGCATCTACAATTTTTTTATAAACAATTAACCATAGCTAATATAAATGACAAATATAATAAGTAAAATGTATTATAATTTTAATACTCAATGTATCTTCATTTGAAGCACCACTCTAATGCATATCTTCTACTGTTTTCAGGCATGCATGGAGTATGTTGGCTGCTTTTTCGGTTGTTTGAATTCGTCCTTGCATAGGTCTCTTGCCACGAACCTCCCAATGCTCAAGTCGTCTTTCATTGAAAGCTTTTTCTATTCGGGATCAAAATGAATTAGATTATTAGTATACCCTAATAATTGGGTCCTGATAAATATCCATATAAACCCGATATAAAAAAAAATATCTTCATTGTGGTTATATTAAGATGAACGGATCGACATTCTTACAAGAAGTCAGATGTGATAAAGGTTTAGTGTATAGAATAATAATGTTGGGATGTAGCTACTACAATGTCATATTTTTTTTATAGTGAAGAGTCTCTCCCCTCTCAATGGTTTAACAAAATTACCACTCTCTGCAAAAGTCCTCACACTTCTCAATACTCTAACCGGGAAATGACCACTCTTTGCATAGGTGATCACACTTTTTCATATTCTAACCCGAAAATGACCTATCACTGCAAAGTTCCCCACATCTCTCGATGATTTGACCCGAAAATGATCACTCTTTGCAAAGGTGATCACGTTTCTTTAAGTTCTGATCCAAAAATGACCTATCAAGAAAAGTTCTTCACATCTCTCAATGCTTTGATCCAAAAATGAACATTCTCTGCAAAGGTGATCAAGCTTCTCCATGTTCTGACCCAAAGATGACCTATCAGTGCAAAGTTCCCCCACATCACTCAATGCTTTGACCCAAAATGAACACTCTCTACAAAGGTGATCACGCTTCTCCATGTTCTGGCTCGAAAATGACCTATCACTACAAAGCACCCCACATCTCTCAATGCTTTGACCTAAAAATGAACACCCTATCCAAATATGATCATGCCCTTTCATGTTGCGACCCGAAAGTGACCTATCACTGCAAAGTTCCCCACATCTCTCAATGCTTTGACCCGAAAATGAACACCCTCTGCAAAGGTGGTTACGCTTCTCACTGTTCTGACCTGAAATGACCTATCACTGCAACAGTTCCCCACATCATTCAATGCTTTGATCGGAAAATGGACACTCTCTGCAAAGGTCGCGTTTTCAGTGTATAAGAGTCATAAAACCGGGTAAGTCCTGGAGGCTTGAAATAAAAGCCATAAGTTCAGGAGGAACCATGGAGGCTTGAAGCTGAACCATAGCAGATATATTTTCCATATGAGGTGATCTCTAGTAGTTAGAGGAAGAGAATACTCAATTTAAAGGAAGCTAGAGCGAGGAATCGCATGTCGAGCCATGTTTTGACATCGAGACGACTTACTCATTCGTCTTGAAAGGGAGCCATCACCCAATGAAGTTTCAATAGTGTGAGAATACTCATACGACAGTTCGCAGGGAATTTAATGAAAGTCGAGTGGGAGTTAGCAACCACCATGATTCAAGAAGGAGAACCAACTTCCGCATACGTGGAAGTCGAGATAGCAAGTTTAAGAAGACGAAGACTTATAAATTTTGCATACCTGTGCCGAATTCCACAACTCTCGAGTTGGAAGTTGTGGGCAGATGGACGATATGCTGATAGGAAAATTCTACAAGCCATGAAGAGAGAGAAAACTTCATAGACAATGTCCCGAGAGTTACCATTGTTCAAAATCACGCGTACGTATTTTCAAAATGTTACCGAGAATACCACTTGACCGAAAAATGAAATTCGATTGACCTGATGATGGAGAAGGACCCGTGTCAAGAGCGCCAAACTGAGAGACTCCAAGAAGCTGCAATAGCTGAAGACCCAGATGCCAAGAAGCTACATGAGCTGAAGACCGAGACGCCAAGAAGCTGCAAGAACTGAAGACCCATATCTGAATTGTGAATTGTTGGACCAAGGGCGTCACTTTAGAGTGCGCCCGATGGTTCATGAAGGAAGGATATGTGCACCAATTACCAAAAGTTATGTAGACTCAAGGAGGAGAGTAAGTACTCACCTTTGAGAGTCGAAAAGTTGTTGACCCATGCGGGAAGACAACAAGTTCCAAGATTGAACTAGAAGCTCGGACATCCTCTGTGAGAAGTTGAGGAGCCCGAAGCCTCAAGATCAGAAAGCACGAGAAAGTTGAGGTGATGAAGTCATCTCTAAGTACTAGTGGTGTACGACATCACTAGTTTTAGAATAGACGTTGAAGGAAGAAAGAACAGAAAAGCCGCAACATTGAAATTTTAAGTACCATTGGGTAAATTTTAACCATACAAGTAGTGAGACCCTCGATTTGTATCAAAAAAAGGTTAGATCCAGTAGTAGTGCGCTGAGTTAACTCAACGTCGCAGTACCGTGAAGCCACTAGCATAAGACATGGGTGTGACTTTGTTTATGACTGCAGGCGACACTGACGCTGCAGGTACATCGCACGTAGGTATAACGTGCAGGTGTTCCGCGCCAGTGGGCCCTGGGTAGTGGGTAAGCCGCATGCAACGTATCGTGTGCAACGTACTGCATCGTCAGGAGCCGGGTCACAGCTAGTCGAACTGCAATTGCTAGTTGTCCTCATAAATATTATAGATCGATGGATGATCAGAATGCTCAGATGCTTGCGCTTTGAATGACAAATTCGTTCGAAAGAGCAATTTGCTATTAAAATAGTTAATAAATGTCGATTGACATGGCATCGTACAATTTTGTGTAGACACCAGTGTGGAAAGCTGTCGTACAAAGAAGAAATAGCGAGAGAAAGATTCTCGGTCAATAGGAGACCGACAGACAATATAGAAGAAATCAGTCATCCATGCAGAAACTAAGCCAAACTTGAACCGACAAAAGTCGCGTACAGACCAGTCACAGAAAGACTTTCAGACCAATGTGAACGGCAAGATGACCCCGAGGGTCACGGCCGCAAATGAACAAAAACTTAGTTACCCCAGTCATTTTCAGCATATAGCCGAGACGGCGAGCTAAGCCTAACATTTGAGGCTTTGTCGCCGAAATTCTCGGGGAAAGTTGAGCGATTTTTTTTCCCACGTCTCGAATTCGAGAAGATGTGCTCGAACTCGAACACGTGGAAGCCTTCGATGAGCCTCACGTTGATCTGAATTGACCTGTGAGATAGAACCTATGGTCGCCGTGTGGCGGAAGGTACGCTAGTCAGAGAGTCGAGAAGTAGGTCTCTCTGAGTCCATGAGTGTCGTCGTAGCTAGGGCGATGCTGCGGAGAGTATAGATGATCTCTTTTGAAGTTCCCCAGTATAGTTTTTAAAGTTTTGTCTTGGATTTTATCTAAGGCACATAGTGAGATTTTAGCGAGTTGCCATGAAGAACGAGTACCTGCGATACCGGCCAATGCCGGTACCGCCCTATTACAGTATCCAGACAAAGACCCCAGTTTCTTGACTTGGGTTAACGGTGTATAATAGCCATAAGGCCGGGAAAATTATGGAGGCTTGAAATAAGAGTCACTAGTTCGAATTTACCTGGGGGCTTGATACCGGAGTTGCCATGGCATAGCCGAGATCACTAGCAGGAGGAAGACAGAATTCAGAGTTAGAAATCTTAAACTTGAAGTTTAGAGTTTTGTCATATACCTTAGTTAGCTTTTCCAAGTTCTTGGAAGAGTGCTTGGTTTGCCAGCAG